GACTGGTGTTGGCGTTGAAGAAGGCCTTGGGTCCCTCATCAGGGTTGACATCTGACGATGTTGACGTCGACTTCCTCCACCTACTAATGGAGGACTATGACGGGACTGATGGAAGATGGGCCAGATATGCCTTTGGTGACGGTAGTCGGGGCTACACTCGTAATCTTGTCGACGAGGGCAACGGTAAAAGCAATCTGGTATGTTAATATGGCGACCACACACCCGACATGCTCGCTCACAGCCCGTAATAGCTTGTGCTCGTATGGTCCCCCGGGAAAGGGAGTCCGATCCATGACCATGGCAATGCCCACTGCTTGATGAAGATCCTCAAGGGCAACCTGACAGAGACTCGTTATGAATGCCCGCAGCATGGCGATGGTGAGCAGCCATTGAGAAAGATTTCCCAGAAGACATACAAGGAGAACCAGGTAGCCTATATGGCCGATGAGCTCGGCCTACACAAGGTGATCAACGAGGGCAGCGACTTCGCTGTCTCATTGCACTGTGAGTAGCTTGTGCCGACACATTCTGTCATCTCCGTAGATATTGACCAGATACGTCTCGCAGTGTACACCCCGCCAAATGTGGCCAAAGGAGGCTGCAATATTTTCGACGAGAAGACGGGGAGAAAGAGCCATGTGCCAAGTTGTAATTACTACTCGGCGTATGGCCAGCTTTTGAAGTGATTTTGCGACGACCAGTAACGAGTAGCGTTGTTATCATTGCCAGCCTGTATTGATCTTGATTTTTTGAACCAAACAGCTTGTTGGAGCTGAGATAGTACTTCGAGGGGGGTTGTATGCCGACATGTAGCTGGGTGGGAAGCGCCCAGTGGATGGGAGCCTTGATAGCAGAATCTATTATTGTCAGTATGGACCAAGAAGTGTCTCCTCGTAGTTGGATCTCTCGGATAACTGTAGGACAGAGTGGGATGTCGTTGGAAAAAGAGGAGTCGTGCTGGGCCAGCATATCACCTTTTCTTTCAACCTATGCCGTCTTGCCCTACGATTCCGACATCCGTGCCTTCGATTGCGTGATTGACCGACGGTCGCTAGTGCCACACGGCCCAGGCCGAGCACTAACCTAGGGGCCTGCTCTCACCGGGGGCCTGATCACTCCGTATAACTAACCGCCTGCCTCTAGCTGCAGCTTGGAACTTACCTATATTCTTTTGTAGTCGTGAATGGCTAAATGGAGAAATAAGTTGCATGCAACATTGATATCAATTAAAGTTATCCGGAGCAAGGGTTCGTCCAAGTTCCAACAGCGATGCCCGCCTCCATGCAGTGACATTTCAGTGGGTACAGCCAGCTGGAGATAGGCAGGTATAGCAGGCAGTTATAGCACCTGATTTCGCGTCCTCCACGCGAGCAGCTGTATCGCGTTCGCAGAGAGCACCAGAACCTCAACTTGCTTTTTCCATGCCGCCACCGCAAGTTTGGATCAGGCTCCTGTCTCAGCTCCTGAACTCACCACGCCAGCTGAGATCAGGCTCTTGAAAAGTTTGCCTCCTCCATATCCAAGACGTTCTGCAATTGACCCTCGTTTTTCGTACTCGTGCTTGCCCCATCCAAGAAAGTAGTAGCCATGGCCCGAAAACGCCAGCGCGCCCAGCGTGCCGTCATCGATTTGACTCAAGATGATGATTCCGATTACCAAAAAGGAGGCCCAGGCGGGGCGAAGCGGCAGGCTCGTTCATTTCCCCCGCAGTCGCAATACCCCACAAGCAGCGCTTCTTCTACTTCTGGGTTCCATCTCCCCGTATTCAATTCGACGGTGCCATCGTCGTCGGTTTCCTCCACAATCCCATCATCCCAAGTTGATCAAGATCCTGATGTATTGGATCTGACCCAAGAAGACGATGGGCCTCCAAGAGAACTATACAATACATTGGGTGGGTACAAGTCACCATTCCATGTCGACGAGTTTGGCTGACTTTCATCTGTAGACGCAAAGATAGTGGGGGTCAGATACTACAATGGGTTTGCGTCAGCCGGGGAGGTCGTGCTCTGCCGGAGAGAGCCAACCAACGCGGTAAGTAGCCGTCTGAAGTCAGTGTCCCGGTACGCAAGCCGCTAACTCAAGAGAAGCACGATCGCAACGCAATACGGGTTGAGAATGTACTCGGGCAGCAAATCGGCCATCTGCCGCGGACAGTCGTACAGAGATTGGCGCCCTTCATTGTGAGATTTGGTTAGCACTGTGCCTTGTGTGTTGGTATGCTTGCTGACTGTCAATAGGACCGAGGCGACTTGACCGTGGAAGCGCAATTGACGGGAGAAAAGCAGTTTTATGACTGCCCTGTTATGCTCTCCTTCTATGGCCCGAGCAATCCAACAGAGCGTTCTCGAATCGAGGAATCGCTGAAGCGCGAGAAGCTCGCCAAAGCCACACAGCTCAAAAATTCTAGGAAGCAAGCAGAGCAGTTGCGGGCGACTTTGGAGCTCAAAGGCGGAAGCTCCTATGGCCTTCCCGACGGGACTGCTAAGCAAGATGACTCAGAGATATCCTTGGATCAACTCTTGCAAAAGAGTGAGAATGTGGAGTTCAGGAATGCCGGAGATATGATCAAATCTATCGCTCCGAGTGAGGAGCAAATGGCAGCGATGCCGCAGGCCGACCAGCCATCCCAACTGAAGGCTACCCTCTTGCCTTATCAACGCCAGGTATGTAACACCATCCCAGTGATCACGAGAGGAAGCTAAGGACTTGACTATTAGGCCCTTGCCTGGCTGCATGCCAAGGAAAACCCATCTCAACCTGAGGCTGCATCTCAAAACGTTGTTCAGCTGTGGAAAAGGCATGCTAATCGCCCATACTGGTACAACGTCGCGACAACGTTTGTTACCAAAACACCCCCAGATCTGATGTCAGGAGGAATTCTGGCAGATGACATGGGGCTGGGCAAGACTTTGGAAATCATCAGCCTGATTGTTACTGGTGGGCCGGGAACTACATTGATTGTTGCCCCGGTCAGTGTCATGAGTAATTGGGAGCAACAGATTCGTCGACATGTCCTGCCCGATAAACAGCCAAGTGTACTAGTATACCATGGCAAAGAGAGGGTGACGCATCGGACTTTCGAGAAGTACGACGTGGTCATCACATCCTACGGACGTCTATCAAAAGACAAGGCCCTGTATGACCCGACCTTTGAATGGAGGCGAGTCGTGCTTGACGAAGGTCATACGATACGCAACGCCAAGACCCTGGTTGCCACGTCGGCTTGCTATGTAAGGGCGAAATCTCGATGGGTTTTGACTGGAACCCCAATGTAAGTCTTCCACACGATGCATTATAGATAGTTCATAATGGCTGATGATAAACATAGCGTCAACTCAATCAAAGACTTGCATTCTCTGGTCAAGTTTCTTCGTATCACTGGTGGCATCGAGAAGGGCGAGATTTTCAACACCGTTATCGGCCGAAAACTTGGGTCGAACGACAAAAGTGGAGAGATGCTTCTCCAAAGTCTCATGCAAGATATTTGCCTGAGGCGTAAGAAGGATATGAAGTTCGTTGATATCAAGCTTCCCGAGAAGAAAGAGTTCGTGCATAGGATCACGTTTCATCCGGAGGAGAAGCGGAAGTACGATGCTCTTCTGTAAGTTCAAGCCGCGAGCCAATCGTCTGGGATCTCTACTGACTCTCTGCAGAGCTGAAGCTAGAGGAGCTCTGGAAGCATTTCAGAATAGATCTGCTTCTCAAAACACAAAATTTCATAATGTCCTTGAGCGTCTGCTTCGGCTGAGACAAGTGTAAGTGGCCCAGTGTCGTGTGCTGATAAGTTAACTAATCATGGGGGTAGTTGTAACCATTGGACCCTATGTAAAGAGCGCGTCGAAGACCTCATGAAGTTCTTTGAGAAGGATGAGGTAGTGGTACTCAACGACAAGAACAGAGCTCTTCTTCAAGCAGCCCTGAAACTCTACATGGAGAGCCAGCAAGAGTGCGCCATCTGTTTCGAGGTTCCCGCCACCCCTGTCATCACGCACTGCAAGCACGTCTTCTGTCGCGACTGTATAATGAAGACCATCCAACTTCAACACAAGTGTCCTCTGTGCCGCAACGCCCTGGATGAAGAAAGTCTTTTGGAACCAGCGCCGGAAGAGAGTAACGAGCAGACCCTCGATATTGACACTGAAACTCAAAGTTCAAAGACAGAATCACTCGTTCAGATTATCCGAGCTACTCTAAAAAACCCTGGGTCCAAGATCATCGTTTTCTCACAGTGGACGTCTTTCCTGAACATTGTTCAGAAGCGGTTGGCCACCCTCGGGTACAAGTATGTAAGGGTGGACGGTAGTATGACACCCGCTCAGCGCGACAAAGCCATCCATTCCTTGGACAATGTCGATAGTACACGCATCATGCTAGCAAGCCTGGCAGTTTGCAGCGTCGGTCTCAATCTCGTATCGGCAGATACGGTCATATTGTGCGATAGCTGTGAGTGGGCTCCAGTGCAACCCCTTTTTGCGGCCTGGGAAATACTAACATGTCATAGGGTGGGCACCAGCCGTCGAAGATCAGGCCGTGGATCGTGTTCATCGCCTGGGACAGACACGCGAGACCAAAGTTTGGCGGCTCGTGATGGAAGGCTCCATCGAAGAGCGTGTGCTAGACATTCAGCGGGAGAAACGGCAGCTCGTGAGCAAGGCGTTCCAGGAGAGCGGAGGCAAGAAGAAGAACAAGGAACAAGTCACTCGGATGGCTGATGTTGTAAAGCTTCTTTCATAAAATGGCCCATACAACTGCTTTGAAAGCGAGATAATTTACGGATTGGTACAAGGGAAAACGGCGCACTTGGTTTGTCAGAGGCTACTGAAGAACACAGGCATGGGATCGGAAAGGAGTACAGAGACCAATAATAGACTCTTCCCTTATTGCTTTGTAAAAGCGACGTCGAGAACAAAACATAATCAAATTCTTGATTTTCGTATAAGGATAATTAAGGTACCTAAACGTGCGGGCCCTGAAGCTCTAGGTAGTCTCAAGAGGGTCTAATAATCATCTCTGATAGACATGTCTACCATCCCACTCGGTGTCTGATAACGAGCTGGTTCTAGAAACGACCGGCAAAGGCGAAAAGCTGTCTTGTAAACATGTTTGTATAAATCAAGCTCCTTATCTGGTCGGCTTCTGTGACCCTCGCCAGTGAGTAGAGCGTTCCATTTGGGGTCAGCAGGGTCTTTAGCTGTACCCAGGCTCCTGTAGCATGTGTATACTACGATAAGATAGTGAGTACTCATCTTGAGCTGGAGTTCTGCATCAGAATGGCAAATAGCACACACGGCAATGTGCGCATATTGACCCTCGAGGTTACACCACCTCTGCGACGTATGAGAGGCGCAGCGTGGTGGATTATGGGAAACGTCCACCCGAACATCAATCAAGCTTGAGCGCTCGTCTCTGACTGGTGAAGACAGACGGACGCTCTGGTGTGGGCAACCGAAGAATTGCTCTCCGTTGGGTGAGCTGTCACCTCGCCCGTACCTGAGACGGACCTGCTGTCTTTGTAGGAATTCGCCCTTGGAAGTGTATACTTCACTCAGCATTTCATAGTCGACACCCTTCGTAGAGGTGACCGAGTCTTTCCAAGAAAGTTCAGGGATGTACCTAGTATTCTGCATCTCATCGCCAAGCTTACGGCGGATACAGGACAGGTGCTCGAATGAAAGGTGGTAGGTCATCAGTGAGTGGACTGGTGCAAGAGTAGAGGCTGAAGGACGCCGCAGCGAGTGATGTTCGAGACAACAGCTGTCGTGTTGAGAGCAACCACAGCGACCGTGGGTCTCGCCAAGCTCAAGGTTCTTCTTGTCATTGGCTGTCTTATTGTCAAACGATGGCAATTTTTTACCATCCCCAGCCTCTGTTGCTGGAGCACGTTCAGAATCTCCTGCCTGAATTGCCATGGCATATGCAGGAGGGTCTTGGCCATCTGGTGTAGTTTGGGTGGAGGACTCAGTATATCCACGAGACAGGGAGCCGAAAATACGCCTGATAGAGCTGGCCATTTTGTAGAGAGATGAAGGCTGGGGGAAGGCGTGGTGAATAATGGTGTCAGATGTGCGGTTAGCTATTAGCCAGGGCCTCCAGGAAGCACCGATGCTTCAAGTAGTCGTCAGGAAATGGATGAGTAATTTCTGAGAAGACTGGACAGCTCATTCCAAGTGCGGCAACCCTTATATTTTAAAACACATGAGCCGCGCCACGCGCAGAGGTTACCATCTTCTCTGCATTGTTGACAAACTCAAAGTGCGATAATTCTCGACAAACTCTAACACCAGGATCTGACCGGGCGTGGAACTGAACTTAACCTCAGCAAACTATGTGTCGCTGTTCTTCTCATGGTGGATTCCGAATCACGACGGCCGGTCTAGGTGGCTCATATGACCATCGAACCCCACCCTAAAGCAAGTGTTTGAATTCCGGGCAACTAGCTTCGAGTGAGATTTCTGTTGGGCATACCATTTTGATCCAACTTTAGAGTCGTCTCAAGCATCAATCACGCGCGACGGCCAAGAATCATATTACAATTTGAGTAGGGAGAGGCTATCTAGATGACATATATCTGGCTGTTCCAAAAACATATCTTGTGGCTTCTTAGTATGCATTTTGCTTTTCTTCCTTTTTAATTTTCTTTCTCTTCCACGATCTCAGTCAGCCCCCCATGCAACCACTTTCAGCATCATAAACCCGGAGATCTTGATAGAATTATTATGGTAGTCACATGATAATGCTCCTTATTGTGTCATAAAAGCTAAATCTTTTGTCTATCAATAGATAATACTATCTGATAAATACTCGATAATTTATTATCAATTATTCCAACTTCCTCGTGAGACTACAGCACCACAGCTAGATGTTACAACGTATACCCTGGCTTCTCTCTAGTGACTGTGCTTTCACGCAAGGCCAGGAATATCTTACGTTTCTCATTCTTCTCCCTCTTGCCCCCCTCCCTCCCCAAAAAAAACACTCATAAGAGATTGGGCGGAGTTGTGGTCTGCGGGTACTGGGACATTTTTCCAACAGAGGTTTTTAGGTGAGTGATGAATGAGTAGCAGCGACGAGCTAATTTTGTAACTACGAAGGTTTGTGGAAACGTTTTAGTAAATTTACGAAATAATTCTTCTCTTGTTGAGCAACTTTGTCAAGGTGGCTATGACACAGAAGCCTGGAGGCGTTTCCCTCTAATTGACCCAGCTGTTTTCCTTTCCTAACCCACACACACAAAATCCGTCGGTTTGGGCGAGACATATCGATGCGCTTAGAAGAATGTCAGTCAGGAACGACAATTTGACTCTAGGCAGACTTAATATTTCCAAATAACCCTTAGCCACCAAGTGCTTTGATTTCTGTCGTCGCTCGGAAGACCATGCTGCTCGGAAAGGTCGTTGGGACTCGCGTTTCTTCAGAACCACCCTCCACAACAAGGACCTCCCACTTAGGAACCTGAGGTTATAGGTCGTTAATTCGACGTAATATGTATTGGATGAGGAGTCTGGCGAGAATAAACGGATATTGCACTTACATGCGCTAAATCCGCTCAAAGAGAGTCTTTCTGTATGGGGACGCAACGGGCATCCACCTCTAAGTACTCTTTGCACAAAGGACAAAGGTCACGCTTGGGGTTTTCTGACGCAGCTCTTGAATGGATGTGGGAGATCAATGCAACACCTCTTGAGACGTTAGGTGGTCAAGACACATCGGCACAAGGGGTCAACGACGCTGGCTATCCCGGTGGTCAACGACGCTGGCTGGTCAACAACACTTCCTGTCAACAGGTGGTTAAAGACGCTGGCCGTCCAAAGGGCCAAAGGCACACTTTGTTAGGCTGGTCAATAACACTTCCTGCCGACAGGTGGTCAACGACGCTGGCTGGTCAACAACACTTCCTGCTAACAGGTGGTCAATGACACTAGCTGGTCAACAACACTTCCTGCTGGCAGGTGGTCAATGACACTGGCTGGTCAACAACACTTCCTGCTAACAGGTGGTCAATGACGCTGGCTGGTCAACAACACTTCCTGTCGATAGCCGGTCAGACACTCCATGTGCCGATGGTCCCGGACGTGACACTGCCCATATCTCGGGTGCCTGGAATGCATTATCTCGCCGAACACCGAGCGGTCGAATTGGCATCCTCAAGGCCTCCAGGGTTCCTTCTGGCCTTGGCCCTGACCTTGACCCTTTGGTTTTGTCCCAGTAGCGCCACTGGAAGGGCGAGCAGATGGAATCCGAGACGTGCTGTTCTCCGGGGAAGAGGTTTGCGTCGAAGCGTCGGCCATGGTACTGGAGGATCGGCATTGACATCGGCATTGACATGGACCAGGTTCTCCAACCGGACCTTGTGGTCCACGCTCGCCGGGATCACCCTTGGGACCTTTGTCACCAGGATCACCTTTGGAACCTTGGTCGCCAGGAGCACCTTTGTCGCCTTTGTCGCCTTTGTAACCGTCTGGACCTCTGTCACCTTCGGGACCTTTGTCGCCGGGAGGGCCTTTCTCGCCTTTCTCTGGATGGTAACGCTCCCAGAGGTTGACACCAAATGTTATAATCAGGGCAAAAGTAGGAATCCAGGCCTTCATCGCTGAGCCGATCTCTTTGAACTGGGCCCACGAACCATTTGTGTCGGTCACATCCCACGGCATCATCGTCATCATCATGGCCACCACCGCCACCACCACCACCATCATCATCAGAATCTTAGCCATTGATGAATGCCGCAGATTCCTGTTGTGATCGTTGTTGTTGTTGGTGTTGCTTTTGAAGTGGTTGTGATTGTGATTGCTTTTGTGTGTAATATTGTTTGTAAAGAAGTCCAGAATATCAGGCTATCGAATAAACAATATTTATTGAGGGCGAGTCTACTGTATCTCACAGAAGGCAGGAGCTCTCGTTCAATTCACAGGGACGGAAATGCGTCGGTCTAGCAGCTACCTACCCACCTAGGTCTTCCTTCAGATGGAAATCTTTGGGTCTCCCTACATTGGCAGGCAGATCACATGGCTTAGGTAGTGAGTGGAATTCGCTTGTCGAAAGGGAGGAGGGAGAGGGGGGAGAGGGACAGAGGCAGGGACGCTCTGCAATTCTCGATTTTGAAGTAATGGCTCCTTAGGTACCTCTGGCTTGTTTTGCTAAGGAAGGTTCTGCTGGCCTGATCAATCAAGGCCATTTGATTTGATTTCTAAAGTATCTGTATATACCAACCCTCCTTCTCGATAACTAGTTGGTACCCCAAGGGTCGTTGCATACATACCCTACCTAATATTGGAGTGAACAGCTAGGCACGTAATTGCTAGACTGGCGCACTCTCATTCACACTATGATTGACGGCCGAGAATAGTGAACTTCGTGGCATCGAGATCTGCATTCATTCGGTTCTTGCTGCCGTGAGTGTCCCGTCAGCCATCTCCATATCGCCGCCACTTGCCACTTTGACCAGCCTTTTCGAAGTGAGAGGGTAGGTAGGTAATTGCTGAGCGTGGCAGGTACCTACGCTTAATCAAAGTACCTACCTACCTCACAACGAGAAGGAAGCTCCATCTTTTGCCTTTGCCCAGGAAGGAGCGCATATGGTTCCCTTCTCCACGGAATAGGCAACTAGCAGGCGTACGTAGCCTGCTCTTGCCTAATATCTCGGGCAATGGAAACAACCATAAACAGAATCGCCCCTTCCCCCTCACCTGTCCTCCTCCCCCTCCCCTCCCCCTCCCATTTCATCTTCAGGTTTTCCCAACTTCCACTCTCCGCGTCGTTGACAGACACACTCCCACTCTACGCCGTTGACAACACACTCGGTATCGTTGACAATACCACACTCCCTGTGCCGTTGGCAATACCACACGCTGCCAGTCCCTGAGCCGTTGACAGCACACTCGGTATCATTGGCAATACCACACACTCACTACGTCGTTGGCAATACCACTCTCTGCGTCGTTGGCAATGCCACACACTACCACTCCGTGTATCGTTGGCAATGTCGGTAAGTTAGAAGTCCGATCCAGTCTGAAATTGTGTATTGTGTCCTAATCGGTTTATCACAAGCCCCGAAAGTGACCGTATCGGTCACAATCAACGGGGTGATCGCCCCGGGCTAAGCCGCCCCCGACCCTGACGCCCAGGGTCCCCCCCGCGCCGCCGCCGCCCGCGCTGCCGCCGCGTAAATAACAAATCCTTTTGGCGAAGGCTGTTCTAGCTAGCAAGTTTGCTAGTATTGATGATAACATAGTGCCGCCGTCGCGGCCATCATGTCACGGCCTGCCCTGGCCGGCAGGCCCCCCGCGCTGCGCCCTTCTCATGGCCGCCCTCGCTGCGGCGAGGTAAGCAACAAGTCCTTCTGGTGAAGGCTGTTCCAGCTAGCTAACATTGATGGCAACATAGTGCCGCCGTCGCGCCCCCCCCCCGCTGCGGCCCCCCCCCCCCGCTGCTGCCGTCCGCGGTGCCGCCGTGTAAGTCACAAATCCTTCTGGCGAAGACTGTTCTAACTAGCAAGTTTGCTAACATGATAAAATAGTGCCGCCGCCGCGGCCATCATGCCACGGCCTGCCCTCCCTCCCCCGGAGGAGCTCCCGGCCCCCGAGGCCCCTGAGACGCCCCCGCCGCGCTCCCCCCCGGCGGTGGTTTCCCCTTCCTTTCTGGCGCCGCCCTGGGCTCCCCGTCCACGGCCCCCTCCCTCCGCTGAGGAGGATGTTTTTTTTTCTTTGGTTTGTTGTTCGTTGTGTGTTTATTGTGTGTTTGTTGTGTATGTTGTGTGTATTGGTAGTTTTTTCGTTTTTTAAAAGTCCCTGATTTTTCCCTGATCATTGTACAGGTACCAATATGTAAAAGTTTGAATATTTTTGAATGGGAAAAGCTCAACATGGAACGCAAGCGGCCAGTCCTATTGCAGTAATCTGATGAGTGTGTTCGATTCTAATGCGTAGAGGCCGCGATGACAGTTTGCTACATAGGGTGGCCTCCATGACGAATAAACCGATAAGGTGCTTATATCTCTAGCTTTAGCTGACTGAGATATCGATGCTGGCATAGAAACACGAGAGGGGCCAGTGAACAAATTCTGAGATACGTTGCAGACGGGGAGTGAGGCTTGCGTTGACACTGGCGGCTATGAGAAAACAAGAGAGCGCTCGAGCGTCGGAGAAATCTGTCCGATGGCGAATCTTTGGCCTTTCACAAACTGTTGACACCCAATGGTAGATTCCTGCTCCATGAACTCCACACAGGCTCCAAGTACCCCAATTTAATCTTCGGCATTGTCCCTGTTTGTTGGCTAGTTGAAGCTGATGGAACTAGCCAGCCATAGCTTACACCTGGGCGATGTGAAGAGTCATACCCAATGACTGGTTTGTGGTCATGGTCACTTAGCAAGTGTTGGACTCCACGTACTGGACAAATTCATTAATCATCACTCTGCATCATACCCACAATCAGGCGAGGGACTTTATGTGGTGAAGAATCATATTTAATGGTCGGGCTGTGGCCGTGTTCTCTTCGCAAGTGTTGGATTCAACGTGCTGGACATTTACGCGTACGATTAGGAACTACTATATACGTCACACGTCGAGCATTGAGTAATAACGCTCGGTCCTCGACCCTTTTGGTGCCAATATTGCTACCAGAGATCGCACAAAATGGAAAGTACGACAGCAGGAATACACCTGAGCCGTTCGGCAGTTCTTGATCAGTACCTACTCTTCTAAAAGTGGTTGTATTTATTCATGGAAGGAATCAGTGATGAAACCTCTTTTGTCTTTGCCTAGAAAGGAGCGTATATGGTCCTCTTCTCCACGAAAGGTAACTACGAGGTCTAGGCAACCTGCTCTTGACCAAAAATTTCGGGCAATAGAAATAAGTATAAACAGAGTCGCCCACCCTTCCCCTCGTCTTCCCATCTTCTTCTCTGCACACTCGGTGTCGTTGACAGCAAATTCCCACTCCGAGTCATTGGCAGCAAACTCCCACTCCGAGTCGTTGGCAGCAAACTCCCACTCAGAGTCGTTGGCAGCAAGCTCCCACTCCGAGTCGTTGACAGCATGGCTGTAAGTTAGAAATCCCATCTAGTATGAAGTTGTGTATTGTATGTCCTAATCGTTTTATAAGCCTCTAAACGTGACCATCTCGGTCACGGTAAACGGGGTCTCCGCCGCCCTCGCCGCCGCCCTCGCCGCCGCTGCCGCCTCGTAAGTAACAAGTCCTTCTAGCGAAGGGGGCTGTTCTAGCTATGAAGTTTGCTAACATTGATGATAACTTTAGTGCCGCCGCCGCGGGCACGTTGCGGGGGCCTGCCCCAACCGGCAGGCCCCGCCCCCCGGGCATCCCCCTCCCCCCCTCCCCCCGCCGCGCCGGGCTCCCCGGCCCCATGAAGATGTTGTTTGTTTATTGTTCGTTTGTTTGTTGTTTTTAGAAGTTTTTTTTTTGTTGAAAAAAAAATTTAATTATTCGTTGATCCTTATACCGAATTGCCCATGATTTGTGATCGTAAGAATAATCGACACATTTGACTTTGCCATTTTATTTCCAGGCCGCGATAACAGCCGGCCACATATGGCCAGGGATATTCAAAAATACCGGGGGAGAAGCTTGCCGATAGAAGGAAAAGGAAAAAGAAAAAGAAGAATTCCTGTCTACGAGGAAAAGCCATACCGGCGAAAGAGTCACGATGCCGCAATGTATGGCTGGTTCCTTTAGGGTCCATTACTGCGCCAAAATGGACGGATCTAAAATGCAACCATCGCAACTATGCAGGTAGTATAGATTCGTGGCTTTATATCCTGTTGTATTGCCATCCTAGGCGAGGCCTCTTCTTTCTGCTATTCTTTGCTATTGCGTCTAACGTATGAATGATTCCTGTTTGTGGTGGTTTCGGTCAACGTCTGTTCGGCACTTCTTGATCAGTACTCTTCTCTAAGTGGTTGAATTCACTCATAGAAGGAACCAATGGGAAAAAGTTTTGACAGTCTCCCCGTCTCACTCGAGGGAGAGGGGAAGAGTAGCGAGAAAAGGAACAAAAATTGCGTTGCTAAACACACAGCTTCCTTCGCTCATCTTCCATCACACCAGTCCAAGCACTTCGGCACACCAATCTCAAGGCTTTTCAGATACCAACTCAGTGAGTACCAACAGTCTCTTGACCAGACCACTTACACTGGTACGTGTGTAGCCCTCGCTCTTGGTCGCGTCTTGTCAGACGTAGTCTCAGCGCCTTATCTGTTTACAAGTGATTCAATTGGAGCACCCAAGTTCTTGGGGGAGCATCAAGCTCTCTAGCCATGGCATTTCCACTTTGTGCAACGAGCTCTTTGGAAATTCTCAAAACTTTTATAAGCACAGAGAGACGAGATCGAGTCTACCTTGGAGTGGCACACTTTACAAACACATGTGGACGGAAAGAAAGGGGAGGGGATATACAGTTATCGCCCGGTAGTTCTACCCAGCAGTGCCAGGAGCCTATCCAAGTAAGGAGGAGTGACGACGGATGAACAACCTCATCAAACTTGTGAAAGCTGTGTTCTAATTGTCTCTGTCTACCTCATCCACCCCATGATTGCTTCTCCATTGGGCGTATTTCCGCTGGATCACACATAGCCGGTTATTGTTGCTCTCATCATTCCCATGGCTTGAAGACTTTGATTTTGGTTTTGGAGGTGGAGTTTGGCTGTCTCTCTTTTCTTATTTTTTTTAATCGGTACCCTGGGAGTCGTGTGTGCGAGTGCAAAAGTCCGTCGCTAATCCAACCTTTTCCCTCCCAGCACTGGTCATTATTGCAGACCAGCTTAGAAAAGGGGTCAGAAGGCGATAAAGCGCGAAGTGAACTGGCAATAGTGATGGTAGAATGATCCAACCAGCGATCTGACGAGGGTTCCATCTCGCGGCATACCCCTAGTTAGGGCTCTTGCAACTACTCGGACATGCGTCTTGACGACGCACGAGGCGATCCGGGAATCACGCTCAACGTATGGGGCAATAGCGGCTATCCGGCCATGCAGGTGTTCCTTTTACTAGTTAGCTTACTCGGTAGCTGTATTGTGAGCTAACGAGTGAGCTGTTCGTTCTAGCTTATGGCTATGGATTGCTGTATTGCGAAGACGTGATGAACCTGTCCGCGCGAGCCTTCTAGCCGGGACAGCTACATCTATTAGATTTCGGGGAATGTGCCTATTCGAACGTACGAGTTTGACAGCTTCATCGCAAGCCCGCGGCCGCTCTGTCCATGCAAGTTTGTGCCATAGACATCGCATACACCTGAGGAAGTTATCCGCGATAGCTGTAGGTCGATCCTAGCGGTCATCCGCCAAGACAAGTCCTTCCTGAGCTCAGCACCAGTTGTGAACGACTTGGTTGAGGGGGCTTCCGACTTGCCGCAGTGGTGCTGCTTTTTAACCTATTCGGCGGCGGCTGGGCTCCACGGGAGTAACAGGGAGTTGCCTACCGGCCTCCATATTTGAGCACGATCAGGGGAAGGAAGCCGTCGTGCTGCAGAATAATATCCAAGTAGGCACGATGAAGCGGGCGTGTGGTCCCTGGAAAAGATACACATGTTCGGTTTTGGATAATCTCGTGGCTTGCGCGGTGTCCGTTAGGTTTTGGTCGCGTTCGGCGCAAGCTAAACAAGCGAAAGCTTTGTTTTTTGCTTCTATTTATCAACTCAGGTTGATCGTCCTTAGGTTCCGTGAATCGATTGGGACTAGACCGCGGATAAGAAAGGGAGGAATTAGAGTTCACTAAGGGGAGTCACAGGAAGGGAAGAGTCTGAGATTAGATATTTTGTTCGATCTCATGTTATGATGGCTATTTTCCCTATGCTACGTCGACCAATGCATGCCTATGATGAAAACCAAAACAAGATTTGCCCGTTGTCTATCTTAGCCACCTGATATAGGCCCAACGAAGACGTTCCAGGGCTTTCTGCTGAACTTGGATCCCCTTGATGTTTGATAGATCATCCAGGTCCTCGAGGAATTCCCTTTCAATCTCGTGAGGCATCAGTCTGCGGGCTAGATTCCTGAGCAAGTGGACCTCGCAAAGAAGCAAGCCATGATCCTTGTATGAGAGAACATTGCTCTCAGTCGGGCGCGCCTCCGCGAGGATGCGGTCAATATTGCGAAGAACCCGGACGGCATGTCCGGATTTTCTAGCCTGTCGCCTCCCAGAGCGGCCTCCAAAGACGCCACGGAGATACTGGAAGAGACCGATGGAGACGAGAATACCAGGTGTCAGACCTACGAAGCCGAAAACCAGCTCCTGGCTTTTCAAGAGGGAGTCGATGCCGGTCATGGCAACTTCAAGATCCACCTTGGTTTTTTGAACCTGTATCAGGAGCGAGCGGACAAGATCACCTCGAAGGGCGCCGACGAATGGGCTACGGAGGTCCTTCTCGTATGCTTTCAAAACAGGTGTGACATCCCCTTCGGCAACCTTGGAACGGATCTCGGAAATCTGAGCGTCTGAAAGCGATGAACTCTCAACTGCAAAATGAGGCTTATCGATTGCGAAATCAACCACCATGCGTTCCAAGCTTTCCCGGTCCGCCTTGAGGCTATCCCTGCTCATGATGGCGATTTCGCTGGATTCATCGTGGCGAATGGTCCGAATAACTTTGTGCGTCGGCTCGATGACCCAGTTCAGCCAGAAGTCCCGCACTGTTGATCCAAGTTCCGTGATCCAAGTAATAATCTCTGCCTTGCGATTCACCAGAATCTTCAGGATGGTTGTTGATGAGAGCAGACCGACGACACCTGGCAGCCAATATCGCACAAGGAGTGAAGGCCGCCCATTTTCAGTTGTCAGTTTCTTCATCGCAATCTTATGCTGTGGAAGGACCTCGTCAATGATGGAGAGAAGGCGGCGGGCAAGAATGGTTGGTCGATTGGAGGTGACCGTTTCCTCGACATGAACGGAAAGCTCAGGATCTTCTTCGACACCGGCGAAGACCTTATCCTCAAAGTCGTTAACGCCAATGTCCAAATTAGAGACCTCCGCCAGGATCATGTCCATAAGCGCAACGCTGCGTTCAACGACGCCCTTGAGATCATGATGATCCTGTATCACCATATGAGACTTATCGTCGTCGATCTCGAACTGCAGACCCTCATCCATTAGCACACCAAGTCCGCTAGCCGTAATTTCCCTCAACTTCTTCAGCTGAGCTTGTTTCCGTCTGGCCTCTGCTCTGGAAAATGCGACGGGAGAAAGAACTTTTCTTTGGATATTGGAAAACGAGCGCTCTCGGATACTATCGCGGACAATCGTATAGAACTGACCCCACTCGCGAGACAGTTGCGAACGCGTCGAGTCTACAAAGTCGGAGGGTGAGCCCAGTGAAGCCGTCGCAGAGCTAAATCTAGCATGGGCCGTGATATATACATCTTGGGACCAGGCCCAGAATCTCACCGGCGATATTTGTACAGTGTACAGGCTGCTGTACGTATATGAGCTGAGAATCTCATCCCAATACCAGATGTCATCGCTCAAAGGGATGATCTGGTCCAGCAGAGTATTGAGAATGACACCATGGAGCTGAACAGTGGCCTTGCTGACTAGAAGCCACTCTACCTCATTTTCGTAGGGGCTCTTTACGCTGGCTTCGCTGACCTTGAGAGCCTGATCGGGTATCCCTGATTTTGTGAGCAGGGCCTTGATCCGGGATGTTGATAGCAGAGCATCCTGAGAGCCCGTCGTGCTGAATGACTGGACAATTCGGAGAAGACGATTAAGGTGGGGGGCCGCAAATGCGTCAGCGATAGAGAAGCTCTGGTCCTCAGCCTCATAACCACCCTCATCAGACGATGCCTCAGCTGAGATCACAGGCAGCCGGTCCAAGTAGGCATCTAGACGCCGTACTTGGCTGTTCGCGCCAAGAGAAGGGCCCTGGTCAGCAAAAAGAAATCAAGAGCCATTGGGCAGAGAGGGGGAGGCAGCAGGGGAACAAACTCTGAGACGAGTGACATGATGGCCGGTCGTGTGAGGTGATCCGGGAGCTTTTCTGCCGGTGCGGAGACGGGCGCAAAGGCGGTGCGTTGCCGCACGTCTCAAAGTCGGACCAGAATAATTTTTTTCCTAGGAAAACGAATTCGAAGGCCGGGTGTGGCTCTTGCAATCCGATTGAGCCAGTGAAACGCAGGCAAGAGGAAGTTCCGGGTCGCGAAATGCAGGGTTCGAACAGGCGGATAACCAGACCCCAGATCCGAATCGTTTAAACACCGCCTTTTTCATCAATTAACGGACAAGGGTCAGGCCGCGGGCAGGATTATACCGGCCAATTCAAATCTCCTCGTGCTGGCTGGAATTGGGCCGCGCGTGGTTTAATGCGCGTCTGGAGGGCCAAAACATGTAAGAAAAGATTGCATGGCAATGAGAACAAAGACGACGTCAATTGGAGGAAATGCAACAGCAATCGTCATTAGCTTGCGGGTTGGAGCGAGTGTGGAGCAAGTGATCTCATCACAAAAAGCCGTTTGGGGTACGTACATGGACGCATGCAAGGAAGACCAACGCACGTACATTACATTAGCAAGGCAAGCAGGTACAGACA